TTGTTTTCCAGGCAGATTACATCAAAGGTAAAGAAAAGCCTTTGTTTACAATTTCTTATTAAGAGCAAACCAATCATCTAAGAAAACTTTCTCCCTTTAACACAAAGAAAAGTAAATTCTAATTTTGTAACAGTGTACTTTTGATAGTAAAACTGTTTTCTTTTTAACTTACCTAAGTCTATTTGAATCACGGTTCGACTACATATAAAATTCCTTTCTCAATATTTCTTTTCCACAGACCTCCAACTTTCTGTATCTATTCAGCATTCATTCCCAATCTGTAGCTGTGACTCAGGTACCCACTTCCATGGCTAAAGCTTTTTACTGTTATTTGTGATCTTTTGGAGGCTGTGGACTGGATTCTGGGGAAGGGAGCTCCTACAGCAAAGCAGTATTTTAAATACCCTCCCCCTCCCCCCCTTTATTTTCTTCAGTCTCTGTGAGCAATGATTTGTTTATCTCTTGGGCTGTTTACATTTCAAAGACACGATGAGATTTACAACATCAAGGGAAAGAGAAAGAATGCCGGTTTTCTCCCTAGGAGTTTTGGAATCATTGCAATTTAAAACGTTCTTTCTTATTACTGGTCAGAAGGCAGGGCACATTTTATCCATTTTCTCATCAGTTACCATAATATCGTTCTCTTCATTCTTATCACGTTCTCAGGAATGCCATCTCTTAACTCCTACTCAGGCTTTGTCACAAATGCCCAGATCTTAATCCAAAGCATCTGGAGCCCTCCTAGCTTTTTACACAGGGTATGCTAAGACCTCTTTTTTTCTTTTTTTAAAGTAGGCTCCACACCCAGCGTGGAGCCCCATGCGGGGCTTGAACTCACAACCCTGAGATTAAGACCTGAGCTGAGATCAAGAGTCGATCGCTTAACCGACTGAGCCACCCCGGGGGCGCCTAAGCCTTCTAACTAACCATCCTGCCCTCCCACCTTGTCCGCCAGCTCCCAAGCCTGAAGACTGGTGGACACCAGCATGTCCTCCCCTGATAGCTGTAGCTTGCTGACTCGAGCTTCAGCCCGGAGGGGGGCGTCGGTGGCCGGCAGAACTGCCGGGGGCAGAGGCCAGCCCACTGCGCGGCCTTGCTTCCCTTCCCGGCGGAGGAGAACTCTGTGCACTTCCTCAAACAAGCCCCTTCGAGCCGCTGGCGTTTTCAGGGCGTCCTGTACTCACGCAACAGGCCACAAGCATCTGACATGTGGGCCACCCCTGCCCACACAGAGGTCACCGGCTAACCCAGGATTTCCCTGCGATGGCCTCATTCCCAGAGCCCATTTCTCCAGTTCCCTGGCTGGCTCACCCGTGGCTGGTTTGCAGCCTCCTCCGGAGCTTCTCCAGGGAAGTCTGAAACCAGCGTCTGTTGGGGGAGGGCAGGGAGGGACTGAAGAAAAAGGCAGGGCACTCTAGGGTTGGTAGGTGGCAGTTTTAATAAGCAAGGGAATTTACATACAAGACTTGGCTGGGGGGCGGGTGCAGCAAGGCGAGTGGATCCCCACACCCACCCACCCGCTGCATCTTAAAGGTTAAGAAGCCTTAACTGGGTCGGTCATGTATATTGTGCAGATGTTCTCAACACCACACCCCTATCTCAAGGCTGTGTCCTTGGAGGAGCCTCTGGGAGCGGGAAAGGCATGCAGAACCCACATTCCAAGGACAGAGGAGGGGGTGAGGAGCCTCCAATCACTTGGGTCGGGCTCACAGGTCAACTGGCAATCACATCTTCTTGATGACCTCGCCCAACCCCCAGTCGACACTTCCGCTCCAATCGCATTCCAGTCCCTGTTTTGCTTGGACAGCCTAGCACTTTGTCAGGGGAAGGCCCTCAAAAAAGCTTTTCTGCATCCTTAAAAACTCCCAGATGCCAGTGCCACAAATCTGTTTGTCCACATTTTTCTCTTCTGTTCCCATGACGGAGCTTTGATAACAGTATGACTGATGTGAAAATTTAGGCTCTCCCTTAATAGAATAATACTGGCTGGAAGCAAAGGCACAAGGAAAAGTGTGGCTGCTTCCCCTGCATCCATTCTCCCTTCTCTTGGTAATGACCTACTTTTCGTTTGGGTCTTACTCTTCTGTCCACTCCAAGCAGCCAATGAAGGAAGTTGGTTCTACTCTTGGTTCGAGAGGTGGGCTAGATGGTTCAGGCCTGAGGAAATAAGCATCGCCTTACATCCTGTGGCCGCAGTGCAGACCATGAGGCCTCCTTTGAACCACTGAGACCAGAGAAACCTGTGGTGCTGCCTCTTTGCTTGCACACCTCAGAGGGGGTAGATGGGGTGAGAGAGGCTGGAGTTGCATAATTCCCTTTCCCATGCGGGAGGATAGAGCAGGTCAGAGTTGGGGATTTCTGTTTTTTCTGGTTGCTTAGGTAAAACCCAAGGTAGTTAGGAAAATAGTTTCTCCTGAGGACAGGCCTTGGTAAGTCATTTCAAAAATGGTTTCTTTCTGCCTCCCCCTGTGAAAGCATGAGGTGCTTGTATGTTTAATGTTTTGAGGAACCACCAATCTGTTTTCCACAGTGCTTGCATCTGTTACATTTCCGCCAGCAATGTACAAGAATTCCCGTTTCTCCACATCCTTGCCCACATTTGTTATTCTCCTTTTTGCTGAAAGTCATCTTCCTGGGTATGAAGAGGTATCTCATTGTGTTGTTGTTGTTGTTGTTTTTAAGATTTTATTTATTTATTTGACAGAGAGAGACACAGCGAGAGAGGGAACACAAGCAGGGGGAGTGGGAGAGGGAGAAGCAGGCTTCCCGCTGAGCAGGGAGCCCGATGCGGGGCTCGATCCCAGGACCCTGGGATCATGACCTGAGCCGAAGGCAGACGCTTAACGACTGAGCCACCCAGGTGCCCTCATTGTGGTTTTGATTTGCATTTCTGGAACCACCAATGATAACGTGTTTGTTAACTATTTGTCAGGACCTCTGGACATTATTAAAAAGTATTGAGGAGGGACGCCTGGGTGGCTCAGTTTGTTGAGCATCCGGCTCTTGATTTTCTTTCAGGTCATGATCTCAGGGTCGTGGGATTGAGCTCCGGCACTGGGCTCCATGCTGGGCATGGAGCCTGCTTAGGATTCTCTCTCCCTCTCCCTCTGCCCCTTCACCCCCACCCCGTACTCTATATCTCTAAGGAAAAAAAGAAAAAGAGTACTGAGAATCCCAAATTCATCTGTGTAGTTATAGCTAGTGATACCACATTTAGACACTAAAACCAAGAGATTTAAAAAATATTTATTCTCTTATAAACAACAGTAATAAACTCATTACATGTTAACATCAGAGCGATGACATCATCACATATCATGTCGTTTCTGGAAAACTCCACCATACACTTAGAATGAGCATGTAAAGGTAAATAACATCTTAATTATTATTTAAAACATTTGATCTCATAGGTCTCCCCCCCCCAAAATGAAGCATGATAATTCAATTCAATTTTACTCAAGATAAGTAAGACTAAAAACAAAAAATTTTTTTTCTGGTCTGAGATTCCTCTCAACCCAGAAAACATGTACTTGGGGGTGTGGGGGACATGGACACTGGAATCTGGATTGTACTTGGTTCGTCAAAGAAAGGGCAGAAAATGGTTCTTTCATCTGGATATGGACCTATGATGCCTGCCCATGTTTAAAATAATACTTTTCTGGCCTTTCAGAAATGAAAACTGGCTGGTTTCAACCTTGCATTAATCTCCTTAATCATGTGATTTTTGAGAGTGGGTGGGCATGGAGACCTAGAACCCAGTGGTTCCCAAAGTGTGGTCTCCAGACCACCCTCAGCAGCATCACCTGGAACTTGTTACACGTGTAAATCCTTGGCTGGCCGGTACCTGCTGACTCAGAAACCCTGGAGATTGCCCCGCCTCCACCCCCGTGGCCTAACCAGGCCTCCAGGTGATTCGGATTTGCTAACCATGTTGCTAACAGTTTGAGGGCTACTAAGGGGTGACCTTTTCCATGTTACCTTCTCTCAGTGTGATCTCCCTCCCTGTGCCATGCTTCCTTCTTCTTTCCTTCCATCCATAAACATTGAATGTATTGATCCCTTATGAGTGCTTTTATAACACTGATTCGGAAATGTAAGCATTCACACGTGATGTGTCTGTGAACATCACATTCGTGCGGACCAAATTCAGAGCATCATTTATAGCAATTCCACAGAAACTAACTCGTAAGGGGGCGTGTTAGTAATGTACAGGTAGAGCTTTTTACTAGGTACAGTTCATTACCTGGGACTTAGTTTATCCTTCTTTTCCCAGCATACTTCTAGTAAAAATCCTTTTAAATGCTGAAGCTCTGTGATCCCCAGAGGCTTGGCTGCCCTCTGTTGGTGTTACCCAAAGATTACTCTGCTATGGCTTCTGTTTAGAAGTTCAGATTGAAGGTTCAGTGAAAGGGGGCTAGTTTAGAGGACTGAGCTAAAGACAAAAAGATTCATAGTTCTTAGAAGGTGTTCATTAAGGAATGTGGCCAGGAGAATGGGCTAATCAACCGAATCAATCAGAAGCTGGGGAAGGATCTCAGTCAGTCACAGGATGGGGTCCAATTACATAGGGTAAGGAGTGTGTGTGTGTCTATTTACATTCCTGCTAGGGTTTTCCTTGTAAACTGGGAAGTTGGGATGAAATGAACACAAAGCCACTGTTCTTTATACCATATATGGTGTGGACAGAGTCCCATGCTATTGAAGCTTGAATGACCATGTCGACATGAAAGTAAGACCTACAGTTCTGGCGGTTCTTTCCTGTTCTTCCAGTGACCTTGGAACTGCTGCTGAGAAGCAGGTCGAGTTCACTCATTGATACTACAGAGCTGGTTTTGTCATGAGGTTGCAGTTGCCCAGTGTGTCAGCATGTGACTTCAGAGTTTTCCAAAACCGAAGAGATCACGGGAGATGCCTCTTGGGTGAGTGTTCGACTTCTTTGATTTTGCTTGTGCTTTATGACTTCTGTGAGCTGTTCTTGGCTTCTTACCACTCCTGGTTTTCTAGATTGTTCTTCTACGCTTCCTCCTGTAGTGATACAGCTAAGTGAGTCATAGGTGGAACACTGCACAAGAAAAAAAATGTGATCCGCACCATAAACCGATGTGCATAGAGCCTTCAACATAAACCCCCATTGACCTGCTAACTTAAAATTCCACCCCTGGATCCCGTTATCTTCCCACAGGCTGAAATCTGACCCCAGGGCCTCTCGGTGCCTCCAGAGGCCCAGCCTGGCTGCCCCGTGGTTCCTACAGCAGGATGATTCAATCATTGTGCAGTGAGTAGATTTTCCATTTCCTTGTCAGCTCCAGGGCTGGGTGGTTGCAGGTGTGGAGCCTTCGTGGCTCTCAGTGAATGGACTGCAGGATGGGTTCTGCCTTGGGGCTGATCCCCCAACGGGTGTCCTGCTGTCTGCATTTATTTCATCCAGAGGCTAAGGAGTCCCCCGTCATCCTCGAAAATCTGGGGTCATCCCTTCTCCATCCATCTTCCTTAACCCTTACTGCCAATCAGCTGGAAAATCCTGCTAATTTGACCCCCTTTATGTATATCTTGATTCTTTTCCTCCTTTTTAATGTGCGCCCACTGACCTAGCTCATGCTCACCGTGTCTCTCCAAATATTCTGTCGTAACTGCCACCATGGTTCCTTGGTCCCTTAATCTCGCCTCTGTTGCAGCCAGATTGTCCGAAGGGCCAGTGCTACCATTTGTCCCTAGCTCAAGCTTCTGTGGCTCTCTGTTGCCCTCAGTATAGGGTCCGAGCCCCTCTGTCCGACCTGTGGGTCTGATGGTCACTGTCCATCCCTACAGCACTGCTGTCTCAGCTGCCCGTGCACCTCACAAGCTGACGTTCAGAACTGCCTGGCTTCTCCTGGACATTGTCATTGTCCCTTCACACCACCTTACCTCTCCCCTTGCTACCCACCCCCCTTCCCCACTTAGCAGCCATCTCCTGTCTTCTTTTATCTGGCCGGAGGCCCCATCAACTCTTGTTGGCACCCCCATGTAGGATTAAGTGTCCTTTCTTTTTCCTCCTATAACACCTCAATCTTGGGCTTTAAAAAATTTGTATTTGAACTCTATTTTTAGCCTCTTCTCCTCCATGGGTCTGTAAGCTCCTTAGAGCAGGGACCATTTGCATTCATCTTTGGGTCCCTGGCAAGTACTTGGCACATAGCAGATATTCTTGTGATAGTGTTTATTTTTTTTAATTGAGATAGGATTGACATGTAACATTGTGTAAGTTTGTGGTATACAACATGTTTATATATTTTTTAATATATTGTATTACTGTATTGCAACACGATTACCACCATAGTTAGTGAACGCCTCCATCGAGTCACATAATTATCATTTCTTTTTTGTGGGGAGAACATTTAAGACCTAGTCTCTTAGCAACTTTGAAGTATATAATATGGTATTGTTGACTATAATCGCTCTGCTGTGCATTAGATCTCCAGAAATTATTCATTTTCTAATTGCGAGCTTGTGCCCTTTGCCCAACATCTGTATAAGAGATACTCTATAAATTTTTTTGAATTATGTGGAGGACAGTAGGTGCAGAGAAGGGATAATAATAGTAACTGTGCTAGGTGATTTTCATGAATTGAAAGCTCCTAGTTTCTAGCCAGCACTGTACTATAAGAACTTTCTGATGATAGTAATGTTTTGTATCTGTGTTGTCCAATAAGGTAGCCGTATGTGGCTATTGAACACCTGACATGTGGCTAGTGTAGCTGATGAACTGAATTTTTAATTTTATTTCATTTATTTAAGTTTAGACTAAAATATCCACCATGTGGCCAGTGGCTACCATGCTGGACGGTATAGTCCTAGACCTTCCCCAGCCCTTACTGAGTCCACAGGAGTATCTCATCACTTCCTGCCTTGCTCAGAGCTCCCGTGGCGCAGGGCTGTAAGAATGGTGTGCTGGTAAATGATTAACCAGCTCTCTGAAAAAGTTGGCCTATTTCCATGGTGTAAGTACTCCCACCACGCCCAGTTTCGAGCTACCAACGTGACATAACTGACTACAGAATTGGGAAGGGGTATGCAGTAGCAGACCATCATATTGCAATTCCTCGATACAGATACAATATATTTAAATAACCCTGAGAACAAACAAAGTAGTAAAATAATTAGAAAGTGGCTACTTTTGAGTATTTATTAACTTTGTTTTTAATATAGCCTATGTAACTATGTTTACCTACTGAATATTCGATAATGGCTGTGCTTAAAAACAGTTCACAAAATTCATGAAAATTCACTTGATCTTAGCCAAAAGGCCGAGAAGCGATAAAATTCATGAAAATTCAGCTTTTAGTTGTCAGGAGCCAGGGGAAGCCAACAGCTGTTGTTTATCACTGGCTCCTAGTTAATTGGTCCAAAAAAAAAAAAAATCAAATGTAGGATTTCTGTGTGGCCACAAGAGGGCACCATCAGATGAAATTAGATTCTAGGAAGGCTTTTCTCCCTAGCTAGACCTGGTGGCAGAAAGCTTAGTTTGAGGAATGAATGTGGGTCTCCTGAAAGACTGTAATTCTGGGAGAGCTTCTGAGAACTCACCTAGTTTCAGGCTGTTCGTTATGTCACAGCATAAATTCCAAATGTTTACCATTCCCAAATACCCTTGTCCTTTGTGTCTGAAGGCTTTTAATCTTGAAGCTACCAAGTGAAAATTTCCTTGAAGGCTATTAGGTCTTGTCAGCGCAGGGAGGGGAGGCCCGACCACGTATTGAGTTCCCACAATGTACTGAGTACCTGACCCACTTCATCTCACATAATCCTAAAATAACGCCTCAGGAAGCAGCTCATGTCATAGAGAAGTTGGTAGACTGTCAGGTATTTACATGAGCAATTCCTAATACAATAACCCTAGGGGGCTTATCCTCTGCATCGCAATAATTGGCACATTTTAATCCACATGAGGGAAATCAGGAGTATTTGTGGGCCTGCCTGATGACCAATAGAACAATACAAGACATCTGACGGTTTTTCTCTGTCTGGGCTAATTATAGGATTTAAGAGCTCTAGGTTTTGGGGGATGAATCTGTGTGTTCTCAGGGTCTTCCTGGGGATTTTACATCAAGGTGGGTTAGATGGCACATTTGTGGGATGTCCTGGATCGGCAGGACAGTGACATAGGAGGTCTGTAGTCTACTGTCTAAAGGGAGGGAGAAACTGGCCTGTGTGTGTGCGTGAAATGAATTCACTCTCTTGATCTGTTATGCTATCTGTCTAGTGCAGCGGTTCTCAAAGTTTGGTGCCTGGAACAGCAAGCATCAGCATTACCTGGGAATTTGCTAGAAATGTAGATTTTTTTAGGCCCTACCCCAGACCTGCTGAATCAGAAACTCTGGAGGCAGGGCCGGGCAGACCATGCTTTAATAAGCCCTCCAGGAGCTTCTGATAACAAGCCCACTCAAGTTTGGGAAATACTGGCCTAGCACAGAGTTGTCAAAACTGGATGCTTGTGAGGGGCACCTGGGTGGCTCGGTCGTTAGGCATCTGCCTTCGGCTCGGGTCATGATTCCAGGGCCCTGGGATCGAGCCCCACATCGGACTCTCTGCTCCGCAGGAAGCCTGCTTCTCCCTCTCCCACTCCCCCTGCTTACGTTCCCTCTCTTGCTGTGTCTCTCTCTGTCAAATAAATAAAGTCTTTAAAAAAAAAAACTGGATGCATGTGTATTTGGTGCCTGAGGAGCTTTAAGGAAATACCAATGTCTCGGTCACAAAAGTTCATATACTGTATGATTCCATTTATGTGAAATGTCCAGAATGGGCAAATCCAGAGATGGGAAGTGGATTTGTGGTTTCCAGGGAATGGGGGAAATGGGGAATTGGGGAGTACAGGGTTTCCTTTCGGGGTGATGGAAATGTTCTGATGTGTGAGGAGATGGTGGTATATACACAACATTGCCAAAAACCACTGAATTATGCACTTTAAAATGGTTAGAATGATGAATTTTATCTCAGCTGGAAAGAAAAATACTGACGTCCTAGAGATTCTGGTTGGAGAGCAAGCATTGGTATTAAAAAAAAAAAAAATCTCTCCTGGTTGTTCTAATCAGCAACTTGAAAATCCGAGTTAATGCAACTAAGGCCACATGTGGGTCAAGTCCCAGTCAAGGGCGTTCTGGTCTGAGTGTCTGCAGTAGATGTAATGGGGAGTGCAGGAGAGGAAAACTCAGGGGGACACTGCCCTTGATTTCCTTCCAGGCACGTGACGGGAGCAGAAAGGTCTTGGGCTCTAGATTCAGGTTGCAGTTTTGGCCTCTGCCATGCACTCCTGTTTGTGTTGCTTGATCAGGGCACCTGTAGCTGTTTCAAATGTTCAGAGAAGTTCAGGAATGTTCATTAGATACGCATTGAGCCTGGAATACAGTAGGCGCTCAACCAATGCTAGTGTCCTTTGCTTTCCCATTTCCCTGCGCTTGGGTTCTTGTTGGGCTCTTTGGCGGATGTGTGGGTTGACCAGTTCTCTCTACGACTCCCCAAACCGCTGTGGGTTAGTAGGAGAATGGGGTGGGCGGGGGGTGAGGGGATCTTTGCCCGAGCTCTTCCCACACCAGGCTCCACCAGCTAGCTCCGGCCAGGCCTTCGTGACCCTGACCGCCCAGACTCACCATCTCCGCCGCCAGGTGAGCCCGCTCAGAAGGAGGACGCTGATGAGCAGGACAATGCAGCCGGCCACTGTCAACAGAGAAGCAGTTCAGCAAAGGCACCCGCTGGGCCGGGTTGCAGATCAGGCTGAGAAAATCCCCACAGAGCAAGGGCTTCCCGAAGAGGGGGGCACTGGCGTTTCTGCCTTCCCTTCCCAGAACGCAGCTCCCACCCGACATGATTTCCTAGGAGGCTCAGGGACCGGGGCTGGAGCCCTGGGGAGGTGGGAAAGGGCTTAGCGCCTTTCCTCGAGGGGCTTGGCTCTTTCTGAGGGGCATGAAGTAACTGACAAGCACGCTCTTCACCAAGGTTCAGAGGCCTCAGTTCAGGGGGCCACCAGGGAGGCCTGCGATGGGTGAAGGAAACGTCGAAATACAAGGAGAAAGGATAGACACATAAGCATCTCTTGAAAGTGTTCCTATTTCCCAAATCCTGCCTTCCTCTGGTGCCGGAGCCACCTGCCCGCCTGCCCCACCAACCACCCGTCTTGCATGGGCTTCACAGTGCATTTTTCCTTTTCTTCCCCAAACTGTCTTGACACATAACTGACATGTAGCATTGCGGACATTTGCGACATGCAAGGGATTGATTTGATGTGAGTGTACATCACAACACGATTAGCACCCCAGCACTAGCTAACACCTCCAACCACCCCTCCTGTCTGCCATTTCCTTTTTGCGGTGAGAACACTTGAGATTTACTCCTTTAGCAAATTTCGAGTATACAATACCATGTTGTTAACCAAAGTCACCAGGCTGTCCGTTAGCTCCCCAGAACTGACTCATCTTCTAACTGGGAGTCCATGTCCTCCACCAACATCTCCCGGTTTCTCCCCAACCCACAGCCCCCGCAACCACCACTCTGCTCTGTTTCTATGAGCTCGGTTTTTTCTTCCCCTCTCAAAGCCTGTTTTTCTCTCCTACCAGGAAACAACTGTGGGGTTTATGGGGTATTTTGTCATTTAGGATCCATTCAGGAGGAGCTTCTTGGGGCTGCTTTGAGACTTCACAGCCTGTTTACTATGACTGATTACTGTGAGCTTGTATTGTTAATATCCGGATTAGTCTTTTACTCGTGTAACTATTATACAGTATAAGGAGGGGGGCATTTTAAGCTAACCGACCAACCGACCGACCCACCAGACCACCAAGCAACATATCCCACAGTCTCTGTCTGGGGTGCATTTTGTCAACAGAAGGCGCGCCCCCTACCCACCTGCTATCTGATACTCGGTTGTGAATATGAATGACTCCATGGTGGTAGCCACTTCTGTGTGCTTGTGGAAATCTGTGCAGAAGAGAGATGAGAAGATGCTCGGTTTGTGCTGATTATCAGACTGCACTAGCTGGAGAGCTTAGGACCTGTCGTGAGCTAGAGCCTCGGAGCCTGACAGAAGGCATGTGACAGACAAGCATTCCTTCTTCTGCCTTGAGATGCCATCCTCAGACTGGCTTCTCCTGTTTCCGACACCTGATTTTGACACGTTTGTTTGTTTTAAAGATTTATTCATTTATTTGAGAGAGACAGAGAGCAGGGGGGAAGGTGGAGGGAGAGAGAGAGAACCTTAGACTCTACACCCAATGTGGAGCTGGACACGGGGCTCGTTCTCACGACCCTGAGATCACGACCTGAGCCAAAACCAAGAGTCAGACGCCCAACTGACTGAGACACCCCGGTGCCCTGCTTTTGATATGTTGAGGGTTGGGAGGTTGGAGGGGAAGGTGCTATTGCTGACCCAGCTGCGGGAGGGGCTGCCCCAGGCAAACGGTCTTCCTTCTCTTGCCTGACCTTCAGGGCCAGGTTTTATCTTCCCAGAAATTCTAGTCTTACCTGTAGCACTTGTTGTTACCAAGGGACAGGAAGTGTCTCTCCCAGGAGGAGCATGGGTGCTTGCTTGAGGCTCTTCTTCGTCATCTGGTGGAGAGAGGAAGTGATGAGGGTGGGGAATGCGGGTTTCCTCAGCTGACCCCAGACACAGTGGGGTGCCGATCTCCGTTCTCAGCACGTTATCTGGGGATCCCACACAGTGTGGCTCTACAGCAGGGTCTGGGGCAAGTGGGTAAATGGCTCCAGCAAAGCCAGGTCAGAGGGAATTTTGACCCTGATCCTGGCTCTGTGGAATCCCGAGCAACTTCTCATCCCCATGCTTCCTATTCAGCCCTGGTTTCCATCTGTGGCTTGGAAACAGGTCATAATAATCCAGATACCACCGAAACATTAAATGAAGTAGAAATGCACAGAAGGACAGCTTCTCTCTGTGACAGGTTCCCCGTTCTTTGCGGGGGTTTCCAGTTACCCAGGACACTGCCCTGCCATCCTTTTACAAGGGAAGCAACATGCACGACAAGTGCCCAGGCCAGCCATGTGGCTCCCTGCAGGCATACTGCCAGGGAATGTCATCAGGACACGAGTGCCAACTGACCCAGGGACCCAGGCACTCAGAGGCTCCTCACCCCCTTCCCTGTCCTGAGAATATGACTCCCGCTTTCCTTCCCCACTCCCAGAGGCTTCTCCAAGGACACAGCCTTGAGCTAGTTACGTGGTGTCCAGAACACCTGCAGCGTATATGTGACTGAAGCCGGTTAAGGCCTCTTTATTAACTTGTAAGATCTGGTGGGGGAGCGCGGGGATCCATTCGTCTTGCTGCCAGCCCCACAGGAGCCCCGTAAGTAAGTTCCCTCTGCTTATTCAAACAGCTACCTGCCAACGGTGGCCTGCCTGTTCTCTGGTCTCTCCCCGAGCTCCACTTACGGGGGTGGTTTCAGATTTCACCCAGGGAAACTCCCGGGAGAGGCGGTGAGGTAAGAAACCGGTAACACTTAGGTGTAAATGTGAGCGGCTTTTGGTTGTAAAAATAGTAATACACTTTCAGAATGAAAACAGTAGACCTCCGCAGAGGTGGGCTGTACGTTTGTCTGAATGAGTGTGCGCGCGTGCGCACCTGCCTGCTTGAATCAGCCCCTTCCCTGCACATTTGCACTTTTATCAAAGCTCAGGGGGGGAGTTACACGAGAAGGAGCAGGCTAACAGTGGGGCGCTGGACAAATAATGAGTGTGCCTTATATATCAGTATTTGGGCGGCAGGCTGGACTTGCCCTTTTGAATGAGAGGAGGTCTTGGTAGCTTAGAAGAAGTCGAGTTTCAGGATCAGCTAGGACGGGGCAGCATCGTCTCCAGTGAGATAGCATCTGGGATGCTTGCAACACTCGAGAGATCTCCCCTCCTCTTTCACCTTCTACCATTTATCCTCACTCAGGGTATAGGGAACCTTAGGTGATAGAGACCTCAGTGTATCTGGTCTATTTTCTAGAATGAGAGAAAACAGAGGCCCAAGGAGACGAAGTGGTTTGCCCGCGGTCACGTAGCTGGTGGGTCAGGAGTTCCACTCCGCTCAGCCCGACGGAAAGAGCAGGGTGATAGAGCCCAACCAGGTGCCTCCATACCTGGAAACCAACCGTTATTCCTTTCACTTATGCACTTGACCTGGGGCTGTGTCCACTGGGTCTTCCCTGAGATGGTTTTGCAGACGCTCTCGGCAGAACCTCTCCGCAGGGCCCTGAATCCCTGCGCGCACTGGTAGCGAACCGTCTGCCCCACCACAAAGTGGTAGATTCTCTTTGAATCTTCATGCTCCCAGGAAGGAGGCTCCCTGCAGTGACCTGAAGAGGGAAAGGAAGTTCTGAAAGCATCCTGAGTGAACCCGAGTTCAACTTGCCTCTTCGTACACACTGGACCTTGGTTCTTCTCATTTTGTTCATTCATTCATTCATTCATTCATTCTTTTTTTTTTTTTAAAGATTTTATTTATTTATTTGACAGAGAGAGAGAGTACAAGTAGGGGGAGGTGTAGGCAGAGGGAGAGCGAGAAGCAGGCTTCTTGCCGAGCAGGGAGCCCGATGTGGGACCCGATCCCAGGATACTGGGATCATGACCTGAGCTGAAGGCAGCCGCTTAACCGACTGAGCCACCCAGGCGCCCTCATTCGTTCTTTCTTTTATTCAACCAACATGTACTGAGAACTTCTGTGTGTCAGGAACTTAGCCAGGCATTTGAGGGAAGGCACACAGACCCCATCACTCCTGTGGGAGTGGACGATGGCTTGAATGAGGAAGACATCTGAAGGCAGAATGTGCTGAGTGTTATTGCTGAGGAGCAGACATTTGCTGTGGGAACCCAGAGGAATGAGCGGTTACTTGTGCTGATGGCCAGGGTTCTCATAAGTGGACAGGAGTGGGAAGGGCAGTCTCAGCTGAGGGATAAAGGTAGGCTCAAGCCCACTGGGGCCAATGAAAGGTGAAGCCCACCCTGGGTCTCCATTGCTGAGTGAGGAGGCACATCCCCGGGTGGTGGCTGCTGGTCATCTTGGGGCTATGGCTGAAGGACTGGAGATAGAGCCAAAGCCAGAAGGAGGGAAGGGCTGAGAGAATCGCAGGGAAATGGAACCTGATCTCTGATCAAGCCATGCCCAAAGCTTGCTCTATGTGAGCCCTGCCAAGGCCTCTGAGAGTTTTCCATGCCCTCAAATCTTCCACTCGCCCAACTAAAACCCAAGCCTGACTGGTCTTTAACCCCAGTGATCATGTCCTGCTCTGATTTGTTCTCAGGATTCCCTACCCCACCCCAAATCTGGATATATACGGGACCACATGTACCTTCTCTCCCCAGACATGTGCTCTGACCTTCCAGACCTTCCATAATCTGAATACCCAATACGACCTTTAAAAGTGTCTTACACATAACCCCCCTGCCCCGGAGAGAAGCTGAGAGCCATCCCGTCCCGAGTGATCTGCTCTATCTAGTGTAGCACCTTGCAAATCATGGCTGAACTTGTGCTTTAGTCTCAGAATAAAATTTCTTTAACAGCCAATAAAATCCATAATGGTCTGAACCTGTTTAAATTACATTTGCTGCTCTCAAATGAAAACATCCCATTAGGAGGATCTGTGGCCAGAACCAGCGGTTATCTCTTGAATAAGGACAACAAACGCTGACCTCCTGAGAAACCTTGAAATAACCATTCAGGGTAATATGGGAAAAAGAGAGAAAAACAAACAATTAAATGTGTTTTGAAATGCCATTCAGCCCAAAGTTGGAGGTACAACATAAAAACATCATATTGCAACAGTGCCTCTGGATTTGTCTTTCTTTTTTTTTTTTTTAATAATGGAAGCTGCAAAGAAGTTAAAATTAATTTAAAAGAAGTAATCAGTAGAAAGGTCCCTAGTAAGACCTGAGGTCTTCCTCCTAAATGTGAGTTTAGCCAAGTCTTTTAACTTCTCTGTCTCTCATTTTCTTCAGTAAATCAAAGTAATAATCCTGCTCCCTGACTCACTAGGTTGTGGGGTTCAAAAGAAATTATATACAAGATGATAAAGTTTTTTTGGAAGGTAATACAATTAGCATAGGACAATAGGGTCTTGTAGAGGTCAGTGGGTCCCCCAAAAGCTCAGGTTTTCTTAACGGGCTCTATGTCCTCGCGACATGAGGACCCAACTTCACCGTGATTCATTTTGGAGCTGTGCTCGCTCTCCCATGTCTCCTTAGCTAGGAGGTTTGTCTGCAACTTCAATGCTCACCAACATGGCACTGCATGTTTCACAACCCTGTTTATAAGGTAAACATTTTGAGGTAAAATTGCTTTGCTGGCAGTTGATTATCTTATATTGAAGGGGAAAACACAGAGCATTTCCTCGAGGGCAGGAATGGCCGTCTACAGGGCTGGACCCAGTGAGTCCCAGTATACATGCTTTTGAACTCAGGTCAGTTGCACTGGGTTGAATTGAATTGAGCCCAGTTCTACTTGGCCAGCTCCCAAAGGAAGCTGGAAGAGGAAGAGGAAGCCCAGAGCCCGTGCTGGCTTGAAATGTTGAGTGGCGCTAGAGCCTGCAAACACGGCACAATCGTTCTTGTTTACCTGAAATCCTGACAGAGGAGGATCGTGGAACAGACTTCCCTCCTCTGGGGAGCACAGGGTATACCCGCGGGCGAAGGGTTGGCTCCCAGGAGTCAGCGAGACCGCGGTGCAGATCTGCCTCTTACCTGGAAGGTTACCTTGGTCCATGGGCGGCGTTTGGCTCTGCATTTCCTGTTCTTTGGGTTTAGGAGTAACTTGTCCTTCTGTGCTCTTGGAGGCTAGAGAATATAGATAGAAAGAAGCAAATAACTTCACAGAGTCTTAAAATAGAAAACACTCTGTGTATTCATTTATTCAAGAGCACCTTTCCACTGCCTGTGACATGCCAGGCAGTATTGGGGTGCAGGGGTTACAAAGAAGAGCCACACACACACACATGCTGCCCTTGGGGTGCTCTCAGCAGGGCCTGGCAGTATTCCCGTGTGTGACGTCAGTGGCCCACAATGTGTTTCTGAAGGAACTGAAAGATTGGTGCATGTGTGTCGCCCCTAAAGGGACTCCATTCCTGCCACCCACCTGCCAGCCTTGTGCCCAAGCGTGGGCGCAGTGGCCGGCAGGAATGGTGTGACTCCCCTTGTTTCCCTAAAGCAGCCCACTTAAAAGGTAAAGGGATTCAGTCTTAAAGCAGGCACAAGAGAAGCCTCCTACCACACTCCTCTCTAATGTGAAGACTTTGGCAAAGGAGTTGAGTATGGGCACTGCCGTGAGGGGCTCAGGATTCTAGCTGAGGGTCCGGGGAGGGTCTGCTGGGAAAAGAGGCAACGGGGTGCTTCAGCAGAGGTCTCCAGCCCTTGCAGTCTGTGCCCGGTGTGGATGGCACAGAACTCACTGCGGCTCACAGACACCATCTCCAGGGCTGAGTAATAAAAGGACAAATGGACGCCCCTACTTTTCACCACGTTCTAGTATCACAGAGTGGACAAAAGACCTGGTAGAGAAATCGGGCTTGTGAGAGAGCTTTCAGGATTCAAAGAACATGCAATAGCAAAATCAGCTCAACTTAGGTTTAGAAAGCCCCTCGGGGGTCATTCCCTCCACATTCCACTCCAGGAGGGTGACCTGCCTACAGTCTCCGAGCGAGCAGTTCTGCCTTCTCTGCTCGCCCTCGCCAGCAGCCATGAGGTTCAGGACCCTTAGTCCACTGCTGATTCCCATCACATCTGGCAGTGAGGGCCACAGGCTCTCAAGCCAGGTTAAAAAAGCCAGAAATAAAGACATTCGAAGGGAACAGCCACCTCTTCCTCTCTGCTTCCCCAGTGTAGATCTGGGGTCTCGCCCACACACCAGCCTGACCTGCCTTTGGACTTTATATTCTCCTTGCTCCCCCAGCGCAGCCAGGGTCTTGCAGGACTGGAACGACGGGACAGTGGGGTCTTTGGGGGAATTTAGTTCTCACGCTCTGGAATGCCAGTTCCTGACACTGGGCTGGGAAGACCCTGGACTGACAGTCCTTTCTACCTGACCATGTATTTGCCCTCTGAAGAAATGCCCAAAAGACCCCATGGCAGTCACGTTGAAAATTTCCGTAATAGGGGAGCCTCGGTGGCTCAGTCAGTGAAGCGTCTGCCTTTGGCTCAGGTCACGATCCCAGGGTCCTGGGATCGAGCCCCGCATCGGGCTCCCTGCTCAGTGGGGCGCCTGTTTCCCCTCTCTGCCCCTCACCCCACTCGTGCTCTCTCATGCTTGCTCTCTCTCTCAAATAAATAAATAAAATATTTTTCAAAAAATTCTGTAATAGATAAGACTCTCTGACTCAGTAGCATGAGCTTCTCTTCCCTTTTATTTTAACTCTCATCGGGGAAGGAAATGCCTCGCCCACTGCCTCCACTTTTCTACCCAGAGCTTCTTCCTTAGGGTTGCGGAGATGGACACTGAAGAGGAGAGGGCACAGAGGCATCCTGGGGAGCTGTTGGGAATTCACACTGCCATGTTGCTGGGGGTGGAGCTAGGATAGGTCAGTGGCACCAGTCAGCATATGGGTGGCATGAGGTGTGAGCTTCTCTCTCCCTCTTTGCTAGAGTTCTTCTCTTTCCCTTGGTGTCACAAAAGGAAACACTTACATGTACTTATGCACTGGCATTTGTTTTCCCAGGAAGCGTGGCTAGAGTTTCCTGCACAACGCATGAAGTTGCTTAGTCTGCGGAAGCCTCTCTCACATCTGCAGTTTAACATTGTGCCCGTCTTGTATTCGAGAGCTTTGTATGTGGCGTGCTTGAGGTTTGGCGGGTCATCATCACAGAGGTCTGCAAAGGAAGAGAGGCGTGTTAGGACTTCAGGAGGTTCCACTCTCACACTCACATACTTAACCCTGTGACGATTTCGTCACACATTTCTTCACTTTCTTTAAAGGATTTATGGGTGCCTCCACCTCTTCCCAGAAAGAAATGAAGGCTGTCGCCACCATCCTTTAGAAACCTTTGTATCAGAGACAGTTCAAACTTTGACTTCAACCAAGTTCCTCTCCAGATTACAATTTATTTCAAACTAAATGAATGGAAATGAATGAGGTTTTATTCTGAATATGCCTCATGCTGAACAAATATAGAAAGAGAAAAGAGGACTAGAAGATATGAGGAAAGGAAGGGAGGAAAGCCATGTAAATTTAATTGAGGGACATGTGTCGGCGAGAAATACTTTTAAGGAAATAAGGGTTGTCAGAATTTCTATATTAACGATTCTGTACCACCTCTTTTCTTTTCCTTTCCTTTCCCTTCCTTTCCTTTTCTTTTTGAGAAATATATGTAAAGTGCTCCACCCAAAGTCTGGCGAGTAGGAAATGTGTGTTTTTCACCCACCTACACACCGCTGAGCTTACCGAATTCCTTCTCATACTACAAAAACTTGACCCTTTCTCAGCCCCCTTCAAAAATAGACGCTGGTTTCCCACCAAGGACACCTAAAATAGTGGCCAAATGCCCAAGTATTAAGGAAATAAAGGGCACTGCTCTAATCAGAAAAATGGTTCCATTGCATATCTTGCAACAAGTCCTGCTTTGAGAGATTAGATTTTTAGGGAAAAGCCGCAGGCTGGATAAGGAAAGTGTCTAGGAAGGATCACAGGAAACAGGAAAAGGTGAGGAAGCACCGACAGCCCTCCCTTCACCAGCACAGGCACCAGATCCAGCTAGTTGCTGCACTCATTGCTGGCAGAGGACAGTCCAGCGATTGCTTATTAATCATCACTCCAATGGAGCGAGACTTCTCTTTGCCCTTACGCTGTGCCCAGCATCTTGCCGTGCTGAAGACCACCCTTGTCCAAGACTCAGGATACTCCTGATCTCCTGAATCACGGAAGATGAGGTGAGTGTGGACAGCTTGCCCCACCTCTCACCAAGAAGGGTCTAAATGGAAACAATTTGAATGGCTCAATGGGCCAGTGATTGTGAAGGGACATGTAACATATACACTGAATAAATACTGATAATCATAATAATCATCATATTAAAGCAAGAAAGGTAACACGGTGGAAAGGGGAGAAAAATGGGCTTCTAGATCCTAGCTCTTGCAGCTTACTAGCTACATAGTGTCATTGCTTTTACTTATCTAAGGCTTGGCCGCTTTTTCCGTAAACTGGGTATTATAATCATCATCATCATTTTACTGTTTGTTTTATTTATTTATTTTTATTTTTTAAAATATTTTATTTATTTATTTATTTATTTATTTATTTATTTATTTATTTGACAGACAGAGAGAGCACAAGCAGGGGGAGTGGCAGGCAGAGGGAGAGGGAGAAGCAGGCTCCCCACCGAGCAGGGAGCCCGATGCGGGGCTCAATCCCAGGACCCTGGAATCATGACCTGAGCCGAAGGCAGATGCCCAACCGACTGAGCCACCCAGGCACCCCTTACTGTTTGTTTTAAAGATTGCATGAAATAACATACAAGGTAACTTGCAGAGCGCCCCGTACATAACAGACATAGAATAGATGCCCGTTCTTCGTCCTTCCTTTTTTCCTCTGTCCAGGAAAGGAGAATGGTAATTCAGGTAGAGGCGGGGCTGAAGTTTACCTTAACTCTATCTCCTGCAAGAGGTCATCTCTCTCTACAGCCCATATCCTCAATACCATTCACTGATACTTGTTGTACATCAATACCAACCTATGTTTTGAGTATCAGAAGGTAAATCTATTGCTAAAACAAGATATTCATAATAATCCAAAAAACCAATGAAAGAACAAGGCACGGACATACCCTCTCATCACCACTTTTCAACGTGGTGCTGGAAGTCCTAGCTAATGCAGTTAGAAAAGAAAAGGAAGTAAAAGATGTACAGATTGGGGAGGAATAAAACTTTCTTTTGCAGATGACATGATTGTCTACGTAGACAATCTGAAAGAACAGACAAAAACCCTTGTGGTACTAATAAGCAATTTTAGCAGGGTTGCAGGATACAAAGCTACTATACAAAAGTCAATTGCTTTGCTATATACCAGCAAGGACAAATGGAAATTGACCTTAATAACACAATACCATTTCCATTAGCATCACCACAATAAAGTGCTTTCGTATAAATATAACAACATATCTATAAGAACAATATGAGAAAAACTACAATACTCTGACATAAGTAATCAAAGAACTCAATAAATGGAGAGATTTTTCATGTTCATGGATAGGAAGATTCAATATTGTCAATATGTTAATTCTTCCCAACATGATCTATAGATTTAATGCAATCCCAATAAAACTCCCAGTAACTTATTGTGTGGATATCAATTCTGATTCTAAAATGATTCTAAAGTTGAAATGGAGGGGCGAAAAAATCCAGAATAGCCAACACAGTATTGAAGGAGAAGAACAAAGTTGGAGGACTGACACTACCTGACTTCAAGATTTACTATCAAGCTACAGTAATCAAAACAATGTGATATTGGTGAAAGAATAAAACACATGGACCAATGTCACAGAAGAGAGAGTCCAGAAGTAGACCCACATGAATATAGTCACCTGATGTTGGACAAAGGAGCAAAGACAATACCGTGGAGCAAGGGTAGTCTTTTCAATAAATGGTGCCAGAACAACTGGATATGCACACGCAAAGAAACGGATCTAGACACAGACCTTATGTCCTTCACAAAAATTAACTCAAAATCGATCACAGACCTAAATGTAAAACACAACTATAAAACTCTTAGAAGATAATATAAGAGAAGTCTAGATGACCTTGGATTTGGTGATGACTTTTTAGATGCACCATCCAAAGCACAGTCCATGAAAGAAAGAATTGAGAAGCTGGCCCTCATTAAAATAAAAAATTTCTGCTCTCAAAAGACACTGTCAAGGTAGTGAAAACAAGCCACAGACTGAGAGAAAATATTTGCAAAAAATATATCTGCTAAAGGGCTGTTATGTAAAATATACAAAGAAGACTGAAACCTCAACAATAAGAAAATGAACAACCTAGTTTTTAAAACGGGCCAAAGACCTTAACAGCCACCTACCTCACCAAAGAAGATATGTAGATGGCAAATGAGCATTATGAAAAGATGCTGCACATCGTATGTTATCAGGGAAGTGCAAATAAAACAAGGAGATACCACTACACACCTTTAGAATGGCCAAAATCCAGAACAATTTCTTACAAAACTAAACACACTCTTACTGTGCAATCTAGCAACCACACTTTTTGGTATTTACCCAAAGAGTTGAAAAGTTATGTGTACATAAAAATCTGCACACAGATGTTTCTAGCAGCTTTATTCATAATTGCCAAAACTTGGAAGCTACATTTAGCTGTCCTTCAGTAGGTGAATGGATAAGTAAACTCTGGTCCATCCAGACAATAAAATAGTATTCAGCGCTAAAAAGAAGTGAGCTATCAAGCCAAGAAAAGACATGGAAGAAACTTAAATGCATATTCCTAAGTGAAAGAAGCCAATTTCAAATGCTACATACTGTGTTATTCCAACTATATGACACTCTGGAAAGGACAAAACTATGGAGACGGTAAAAAGATCCTGGCTGCCAGGTGTTAGGGAGGAGGGAGAGATGAACAGGCAGCATACAAAGGATTTTTGAGGCAGTGAAAATACTCTGTAGGATACTATAATGATGGAAACATGTCATTATACATTTGCCCAAACCCGTAGAATATGCAACACCAAGTGTGAAGCCTAATGTAAACTGTGGACTCTGGGTGATAATGACGTCACTGTAGGTTCATCAACTGAAACAAATATACTACCTGGTGGGGGTTGTTGATAATATGATAATGTGGGAGGCTGTGCATGAACGAGATCAGAAGTATATGAAGAATCTCTGTACCTTTTGTTTGGTTTTGTTGTAAACCTAACACTACTTTAAACCATAAGGTCAATTAAAAACAAAAAACAGCTTATAAGCCATGGCTATTCCCTGAGCTAGATAAAATAACTGAAGGGGGCAAAAATCAATGAGGACTTCTGCCTCTAGCCATGACAGAATTTTGGTACCAAAACTTACCCTCCTGCTGAAAACAACTTTAAAACCAGACAAAATGTGCAAAAAAAGTGTTTCCAGGCATTTAGTAACAGACAGTGCAGCACTCTATTATTTGAGAAGAGGGAACCGTGAAGTGAACCCCATCATTGCCATGGATTCCTTCATGGCCACTTTCCTGCCAAGTGGCACCAAAGCAGAACCCAAGCAGAGCCATGGTCTCAATGCCTGAGGAGAGAAAAAAATCAAGAGTTCTAGGCTGCTGGCATGGCTGGAATTTGGGTACTCCCCAAAACCGACCCACCGTTACAAAGACTAAAACCAAACCTGATAGACAGGAGGAAGCACCAGTAATTGAACTGCCTGTAAGAACAAAATTCAATACCTCTTAAAGGAAGACAACATATTCCAGACCTTCCAAAATGTATAATTCATAATATCCAGCAAGTTTTTAAAAATTCTGGACATGTGAAGAAATAGGAAAATGTGACCCATTTAAAAAAAAAAGGAGTCAGTTGAAACAGACCCTAAAATGACCCAGATTTTGGAATTAGCAGACAATTGACTGCCATTTATTTTTATAAAGAAAGTTTCATGGGAACAAACCCACACTCATTCATTTACATTTTGTCTGTGGCTGCTTTTGTGTGGTAAAGGCAGAGTGGAGTGGTTGCAACAGAGACTTGATGGCCCGTGAGCTGAAAATATTTACTCTCTGGCCCTTTAAGAAAAAAATTGTCAACTACCAGTTTCAAGGAAACATGGCCATAGTGAGTGAATCAATAGATATCTCAGAAGATAAATGAAAACTATAAGAAAGAACC